ATTTATTTTCCACTGCTTCATCTGTAGATTGTAATATACTGAGATTATTATATGAGTTAGTTTGGTCTCGAAGGCGAGTAGGTATCAACAACTCGACTGTGAATGGCACTACGGCTTATAAATGTTTGGAGCTAAATTTGAAGACGTTTTATCTGAATGATAGTAGATCTATGGAGACTAGTAGAGCTTATGCAATCAAAAGGCTACCGACCGATTGTGAACAATGGAAACATTTAAACTGACGAGTAAAGTGGCTAATGGTAGCTACTTCGCGCGTTTCAGCCAGTAGTTTGTTCCACCTGATAGAAAAATTTGTATAGGAAGGAGTTTTGGCATGCGGTAGACCTACAGTGCTGTGTTTTGACTAGATTAATGTGATTCTTTAGTTAACAACTGGTAAAGTTTCATGTTTTATTTTAAGGATGTAGCATTTGGTGTACGAGCATGTAGAAAAATGTAAGACTTAGCCTACCTACCTTTTTTATCGTGATTCCAGCCCTAACGTGTAACATAGCTCAAAGTAACTTTGTCTACAACCCATTTATAGTCTTCTTGCGAAATATCACTGTACTCCTTCGATTCTCAACTTGTTGCCTACACAAAGGCTAGTGAGTGCCAATGAACTATATCCAAGGACCTGGTCAACACAAAGGCTTTATTGAACCTTTATAATGCTGTTCCCCCAGTTGTCCAGTGTTTCTTTAGCTTCACTTTCATCATGGCCACAATCCGGTGATGATCTGAAGCTATGTCAGATCCTCTCCTGGTTTTCACGTTTTTCATTGTGAATTTTGTACTGATGCAAATATGATCTATCTGGTTCTCTATGGTGTGGTCCAGTGAGATCCATGTAGCTTTGTGTATTCGTTTGTGTGAGAATATTGTATCGCCTATGACCACTTTGTTGAATGCACATAGATTTGCAAATCTGTCACCATTCTCGTTTCTCTCTCTCAGTCCATGTCGTCCCATGTTATCTTCATATTCAGTGTTGTCTATTCCGACTTTGGCGTTTAGATCTCCTATCAGAATGGTAAGGTCCTTTATTGGGCACTTCGCCACGATTGGTTGCAGCCTTTCATAGAATTGATCTTTATTGTCGTCGTCGCTATCACTGGTGGGTGCGAATTGTAACGACCGAATGGCCGATATTCAGTTTGAATGCAGGATCGACGAACCAAAATTTACTCGAATAGGCCAGACTACGTTCTTCTGTATAGTGTACCAAGAGTTTTTGCGATACTCGTATTAAATTATATCAAAGCACAGACTCTGTGATCAATTCAAAATGTCCTAATTGAGGAAATAGAACAAATTATATCAAAAATATAAAATACCTTAAACGGTACAGCCTATGCTATACAGTCAACAGTTTCTCTAACACAAAGTAGTGCGGTAAACAATAAAAGAAACATTTAATACCAAAGGGTTCGATACCTGAGAATCAATAAAAATATTCTCAACAATATGGGATCAAATGTCTATCTGCAGAGATTCCAGCAATCCTCATAAGCAAACAGTTAAAAGGTTAGCAGTCATACACTGAACCACGCCGTGACCTGGAGCTTAGTCAAACACGACCTTGATGTCAATAGTCCGGCAACATGCAATAGAAAATTAGGTAACAAAAGATAAATCTTTAATCAAAATCACATGATAAGGGATTAGATGAGAAAGACTGAGGAACTAAAGGTGTGGTTAGATGAGATCTGAACAAAGGTTAAAATACACGACAGGGAGAAGAGACAAGTAAATGACAGTACTGTCCAACCAAAAAGCTGCGGAGGGATTTTCATAGTTCTTTTTCTGTCACACATATCATTGGATACCATTCATTTTGCTCCCCTCCTTTTTTTGAATGATGCTTTGATAATTCCGGATATATGAGATTCCCATCGTACAGGTGCATTTCGTGCTTCTTTGGACAGCATTAGAGCAACTCCCTTCGTATGCGGAGCATTTCCTCTTCGTGACCGGAGTATAGTAGCATCTCTCCTGTATCTAGCCTTTGTTGTCCAGTCTGTGTCCGATGGATTTCGCTGATTCCCAGTACTGCCTAATTGTATTTCCTCATTTCCGTTGCTACTTGACTGGTCTCCCTGGTCACCCACAATGTCCGGACGTTCCATGTAACTATAAACATTGTTACCTTGATTGTTAGAAGTAGCATCTGCCTTGTGACTCCCGAAGGAACTCGGCTTTCCACATGAGGCGTCATATTTCTTCCTTCGACTCCCAGGACAAAGTTTAAATGGTTCAGTTTGTTTAATGTGGTTGGCGCTTTTTTAGCGAGTTAGTTTTCTACGGGATGGAGTTGCCAACCTCATACCCAATCTTCCATCTTTTACACGGGCTAGGGACCGGCAGCAACTTAAGAAGAGCTACAGGCGGAGTTAAGTTGCAAGCAATCAACCCAAACATGTTGTTTTAATAATGATTACCACGACTTCCTCAAAAAGCCTTCAAGTTTTAGGACCCCGGATAACTTCCCAAATATCAAAACAAAATGGTACACTGATGTAATATTAATAATTTATTGTCAAGTAAATATGTTACTCCAGACATGTCACCTTGCTGGTAAGACCAGAGTGCCACAGTTGTTACGTGATTTTCTGTAATAAGTTACTTAGGTTGGTGTGTTATAAGACACACTAATCATAAAAACAGTGAAGCAGGTTTGAGTGCATAAGAAAACGAATGTCAGTCAAACCTGAATGTCCTGTCTATAAGCTGCCTCACTTTATGAAAGTCACGTTAGTGTGAACAAGTTGCGGTTAAGAATTGATGCAAGTAAGGCCCATGATAGTTCATGTCACCACGTTACATGGTAAATCCATAATCGTTCATCAAATACGTCAACTTTAACACATTACTTTGTATGTCTTGTCAGTAATACATGTATTCCCCATAGAGAAGAGTGTGAAAATAGGATGCACCAAACCGACACCCTGTTGACTCTTAAACAACATAGGGAACAGGTATTTCCCTACCAAGTTTAGTAGAGTGCATGCTAGCTGGAGGATCTTCGTGTCAAGAGTTCCACAAGGAACCCCTGTTGGTATGTAAAATTATAGCTTAGTTAGGTATCAGGACATTTATCTTTTATTGTAATAACAGATATAACGCCAAAATTATAGATTTGTCATTATGTGACTACCTAATCTATACGATCTTATGTGGAAGTCATAGCACGGCCTATACTAACTCATCCTATCGTGATAATCAGCAACATGATGCTTAGTACTCTTGAAGAACATATCTGGGTTGGAGACAGAATAATATATTTCATGTGGAAAGGAATGAGTTACGCAGAGTTACCAAACCTGCAAGACTGAGCCATGTCATACTCATCAGTTGTTTTCACATTCACCATTTTCGACCTTCTCTTAGCATTACATGTTGAGTGTAAATCTCATTAATTATATGCTTTGCTTCAAAGATCTTGTGGTTAGAAACCAGTGCCACCACAGGTACACTCCTTTCCGTGTTCATTATGAATGACCTTCCCGATAAAATTAGCTAAGCGACATCAAACTGTGCATGCAACATGGTTTTATGAGTGTCCGCAAAAGGTGCAAAGGATTCATTTGAGCTCAAAAAGGGTCTTACACCTGAAGAAACGGGCAGTAGATGATGGGTTACAACTAAAACTCTCGCCATTTTGCGACCATTCTGCTTCATGGGAAACAAACAACTTACGTCTTACATGGAGAACCGCTGTCACTTGTTTCCTTGGAGAGCGATCTTGGGCTAGCATCTGAAAAGGCCATGAACACCCTCTCAAACTATGTTGAGGGTGCAACCAAGGCAACTCCACTCTTGATGTAAAAACAACTTATCGCCCTTACTATACATCCTACCAAGACATCACTATCACGCTACTCTGGAAAACTCCTGAAAGTGCATGTCAAGGATTAAAATCTAAGGTAACCTCCCACTTTTGCTCATTGAGACTTACCTCCATCTGGAATGCCCCCAGCTAGAGTGACCACAGACCACTTGGCTGATAGCTTCGAGAGAAGACTTGATAAACACGTACCTGTCTATGGAATGCCATCCCCTCCTGGACCAGATATACCTGATGATTGTCTCGTAATTTACCTGCTAGTATTATCAACAGATATCAGTAACCTACTCTTATTTTGCTTCTTAGCACCTACGTTAGCCTGCTATTTATACTCTTCTATACAATCACAGCGTTTGATTAATAAATTAACTGACTTATTGATAAGTATATCTTCTCGTATCTCTTCTTCATTCGAACTGAGTTTTTGTTATTTCGCGCATTGCAAATAATCAAGCTTCTCCTCAGAATTGCGATAACTGTTGGAACCCAGAAACCTTATAGTCGTAAGACAAACGCACTCAAACTACAGGCTATAGGAATCCACAAACAACTAACAAACGGATTAGAATTAGTTAGGTCGAATAGCTAGATTATAAACGACTGGACATTACCGAATACATGTAACCGCACCGAAACAACATGAAGCGAACACGAAGAAATCAGTCGGTCTACCCAAGTTAGTGACATATATTTTATATTGAAACCCATTATCACTGAAATTATCGTATAAAAGAGGCTAGAAAAAACTTTGTTAGACTATACGATAAGGCTGGAACGGCTACTGGAACACCGAAAAATAGGAGGAAAGTGGTCACTTGATTCATATTGCTTGGTCACAAAATGCTGGTCATACAGAGCATAACATATTATTGTGCCGTAAATCTTTGACGTGAGCGTTAGTGTTACATGACCAATTAAAATTGGCTTAGTCTTGTTACTTGTAACATGGTTTATGTTTATCAATATGGATAGTTATTACTAACAGTGAGACTATAATTTATGGACGAACCGATGAGATTTGAGATACCAAGCCTTGGATTTTTGCGCGAGGTTCATTTATCAATGTATCATGCGCACAAGTTGACGATGGCGGTGTTTAGTATTGACCACATGCGCGTGTAGTCATCTTACGGATTGTTTACACATAAATATAATGGCTAAACACAATCATTTAAGTTTTTGCAACAGGTAACTACAAAAGAAGGTCACGCAACACCTCAGATCCTTAGTAATCTTGAAGATAGTTCGTATTACTTTACACTACAAATTTCGCTAGTAGTCATCCGGATATATTGTCATAGGGAAGTAAAATACATGTATGATGTAGCGTATTCGTGAGGTTTGTAGACTGGTGTACTATTTTTCTTTATTATGACTAAACATTCGTTGTTTGACTAGTTTTACGATACAGGTGGTTATTTACTTTCACTACAGTATGAACCTCTGCAGATGTAGGTAGCTATCAATCAGAGTATATGCTTAATATTTCCCGAGATTGCTTTATGTACAATGGATTATTTATTCTTGGATCGTGTTCTCTGATCTTATTCACTTCCCTTTATATCACCTCTACCAATTTTATATTCATCGTAGTGATTTTGTGTCGCTGTTCTGATATGATGAAGTAACAGGCTGATGCACACGTGATAGCCCAATCTACACATTTTGAGGAAGACACTTTAAAGAAATTTCGGGAAAATAGCACAAAATCCCCAAATTTTGATGGAAACTGCCGATTGTCATTTTACTTTGGGGGAAACCCCAGAATCGGGAGGTTAGGAGGTTTCCACGTTAATGATGACTGACCGAACCTAACGTTCTTGATCCTCATTTCACACTTAATTCTCGATCAATACATATTATTTATGATATATGTAGAAAAGCTCATCAAAGTAATTTTTGTAAGTTTCACGTGAGATCTCAAAGAAAAGCTATTATCAAGATTGAGAACTCTTGAATCAGCGGTGTACGTCTTTCGGTGAGATTATGATTTATGGACGATCCTTGAGCGTCTCTAGAAAGACCTTGAAAACGTTCATCTACATCGGCTAACTGCGGGTTATAAACCTGTGTGAGGAGTTAGGATCAATATTTACAGTTGGTAGTTAGGGCTAGGAATTCGATTTAGGGCTTTCATCACAAAGTGACATCAGCCATAATACCAAAACTCAAGACCTTTCATCGTAAATCTGATTGGTTCGTCCATAAATTGTAGTCTCGCCAATATTTGAAAGATGTGTAGGAGAATACTCGAACTCAAAATTAAGAGGTAGATAATAAGTGAGTACATTTGTGCCATTATGTTATTGTATTGCTCAGTTTCCCAAGTTTTTCAAGTGAACTCTGTTAATACAGACTCATTTTGTAGTGATATCACACTTATTGTTTTCTAGTGCTTCGGTCTGGGCACCCGGGCAGTATCACATTCCTCACATAAATCAGTGATAACTACTGTCCCGATTGTTTTTGTGTGGCTCATATGTATATAGTGCCCCTCGTACCAACGTTTATGTGTTCAAATCAGTAAATAAATAAGTATTGCTAACTACAGCGGGTTAAAATATTTTGACCCATAGCTCTTTTAGCAATTTTTCAAGGTTTCACTTAATGTATTCATTTAACCAACTATAATAAATGGTATTTTTTATAACGATCCTGACCAATTACCATTTAATTTCAAAAGATTCGCCAATAAGTCCAACCCAATATATTTTTCGAGGTAGCTCACTGGAAAGTATTCAGCACGAAAACAATTCAGCTAGCATCTTCACCGACTCGTTATACAACAAATGTGCCAGTGATGATAGCACTCTATTCTCATCGTCCTGTCTATTTATTGCTCGGACGAAGTTTGAACACGGCATCTACTTTGATTCAACCTCATATAACAGCTAAGCATCGTGGAGTAAGTGAATAATACTTAATTCATAGTCTTTAGATAATTGAGTCATGCTGCACCATCGAAGTTACGACCGATAGACTAAGCTATGCGTCTTTGTGCTTGGATCCTGAAAATAAAAATTCAGTTATTCTTTCCAGCTGGAACAGCCTTTCGCTCAATTTGCCTTCTGGAAAGGAATTCAGACCGTACATGTGTTCCTCCATGGTAGTTAAAGGATTTTTTCCTGTTTAAGTAAACTGGTTTTTAGTCCCTGGACATTGATAATATGTAAACTTCTCAAAAACCTGATTCTTGGAATTATTTTCTGGAAATAATGTTACGAATTTTCAGTAGTAAAATTTGGTGTATTTAAGTTTGTAGTTATCTAGGTGAAATCTAATGTAACAGAACTGTACTTGTACTGTTTACCACGAAAACACCACAGTTTCTGTCACATTCATTAAGAAACCTTCATGATTTCGATCTATATTCTGTTTACATTTATGTTAATTGGTCATTATTAGTTCCGAATTACTTATGAATTTTTTCTGCTATTGGTTACGTGCATATTCTTGCACTGTTCTTATTGAGAGCCAAGTATAAGGCGCATAGATCAGAAAGACCAAACTATACTATCTCGAATAATTTTAGTTCTAAATAATGGCTACTGTATAAGAACAAACCGTGGGTATGACATGTCTAAAAGTAGACACAATCTTGAAGAGCCACTAACTCCACTCGGAATTTAGATGTGTTTAGGATTTGCCTTGAAGTTCTCATAAAACGTATCCAGAAAATTGATTATTCTGCTTAGTGACTTGGTACTAAACGATTTGCTCTGTTTAGGAACTTGGAAATGAAATTTGGTTCGGCTAGTAATTTTTCAAACACTTGTAATAGATCTTTATTAATTAGAAGAATCAGGGTCAATAATTTACTTTAGACGTTATGGTAAAGTGTGGTAAAACATTTCATCAAAGCGTATTCCTTAAAAAGTGTTCGTTTATTCTAGAATCTAACCAAGTTATGTCTGTTATATGCATAATGACTATAATAATGGACTCCTCAAACCAAATTAAATACAACAGAGTGTTACCTATAACTAAATAGTTAATTTCATTGGTTATATTAGTGATCTAAAGTCCCAAGTATGAATTATTTTTACAAAAGCACTAGTAGCTGGGGTTTATTTCCACTACATATTATCCTCTACTTAATTTAACCGAAAATTTCGTATCTACAACAATATTGATATGCCAATCTGTCTCTGTAAGTAAATGTGTAAATGCTAGTACAACTTTCTAGATAATGAAATGTTCGCAATCAAATAGTGTAACCAATAAACTGACAGCATTAACAATTTCTAATTATTATACTTATCAGTGATTTATCATTTTGTTTTTACCGCAAATAAGCTCTAATTTGTATAATCTTAAGTTTCATTCGAGGTCGTCAAAATCACTCCTCACCTAGTTTCCTTTATATTTACTTCAAGAAGAAGTATCCCCTCAGAGTATTAGCAACTGGTAAGTGATAACCACCCTGATATCTTTAAAAGCACTAGAGGTCACTTCGTTCAAAATGTAAAGTTGATAATAAAACTTAATAATCACCACGTATGCTATCTAGTGTTTATATTGTTTCGTCGTTCTTATGTGGACACAGAATTAGAAATTCGTTTAGAAACCCGGTATTTAAATATTTGTAATTCTAAATAAATATTTCATCCATCATCTAGGTGTCTTAATTTTGTTCTCTTGATGTAATTACTTAAATCGAACAGCAAACAAGCTATCATCGATTAGTAGACACTAATGCTGAAAACTAGCCGTAAATTTTAGTCAAATTAGTGATGCAACTACTTCAAGATATTAAATCAACAAAGTATGCATAAGGGAGGAAGATCGGTTGTTGACTAAATGAAAATTACTCAGTATATCAGTACAGCCACCTATCAGTTATCAATAGTAATTGTTATAATTTCTCTTATTACGACCCAGCTACTATTGCTTGGTATTCTTAGACACTCACTCGACAAAGCCCCAAATCAGAAAACGGTTTAACACGAACGTAGTTATTATTCTAAATAACAAGAGTAGATGGAAGTAGGAATATATTTATAGTTTTTGAATGAAAAGATTCTAGAATCTTCTCTAAGTATCTGCTAGCGCTGATTAGATAAAAAAATAGTCAATCAGTGTGCCCCAACATAATGATACTTAGCATGCACTTATAGGTTTTTGTACTAGTCTGTAAGTCACATGTATTTACTACGTAACATTTATTCACACATCAAAGCTACTGAAACTTTGGTTGATAAAATATTGTATAGACTAGTGACTCAGTGGTTGAAAATACTTTTTTTAGGTGATTAATGACAGCTCTATATTTTAAGTAAATAAAGCATCTCTTTGTAACCTGAGTAAAATTTAAAAAAATTATATTCTCTTCTGTGAGTTTCCTGTTGCATTAGAATTACTTATTTTCAAATTTTCTACCATATAGTTCAAAGCTACCACTCAACGTTTGGTACATGATATTTGCTCATCTGGAAAATTGACCAGTAGTCGATTCGCCTTAGTGTATGTGTCTTCTAAATTATCTTCAGCCTCATTGGTACATGCGGGTTTTATGGGCTACCTCATCGGATATTTGTGTACAGAGTCCATTAAACAAGAATTTTTACCCCCATCCTACCTTCCCGTTTTCACCATGAATCATTCTTATCGAAAACATATTCTCTCATCATGGAGATCTAAGTTTGTGAGCCGTAATGCAGAATGTATAATTCGTGGTATTGAAGATCTGTTTACCACACTACCTAAGCTCTCGTTTACTGACAGCAACTCTATATCCACTTACACGAATATTTTTCTCAATACAGATGGCAATCTATCAAATTCCAGTGTACGTATTCCTAATGAGAATCAAAATATTAGCTACAATCAACTTAGTCTTGCTAATGTTCTTGTAGACGGATATGGTTTCCTTGTCCATGGAATAATGGGTAATAAATCCACATCTTTAGAACTCCTCCAACCTTCATATTCATCTTAGTGATAAATGAAAAGGTAAATAATCTTTTAAGCAATCTTTTCAAAAAATAACTTCTGATATGAACTATAGCTGGTCACTTTCTAGTTTTCGATATAGAATCGTGCCATGCTGATTAGTGCTTTTATTCACAACAATGTATTAAGCGGAAATACCTAGCAGAGTTTTCTTTTACAAATTAATTTCAACGACTACTTACTGCAAAAAATTAATTAAAGTACTAAAGAATTAACCTGTTCTACAGAGTCCACCTATTGAATCTCTCGCTCTTTTTTCCATATTCTCCATTCTCTGGATACTTGTAGATTAAATTGCATTGACGAATAAACTAATTAAATATTAAGCTTATTAGAATACCGTGGATTGAAAGATTTAAGCAATTGTAAGGCAACTAGTATGTTGGGCACCTCGGTTTCTCAGATTAGTAAGTAACCTATAAACCCAATATCCTATGACTATTTATGTTTAGTCTATATGATTTGACATCTAATACACTGGTTTAATGGTAGGTACGTTGAGACAACCACGAAGAAGCTCTGGATTTGAATGGTGCAGTTGCGAATCCCATAAGGAGTATAATTAGTCCCCTCAAGATTGCTTACTCGATTTTTTGTTGGAAGTCGATCAATATAAATCTAAAGCTTTTTATTGATTGCTTTTAATTACTTAACTTCAATAACCATTGGATGATTAAGCACCTGATAGTGTCTCACTTCATTACCTTTCATTTACTATCATCTCTCTTGCTCGTTTATTTACTTTTTAGGCATATAATTGTTCTAATATAATTAAAGACAACATTCTATGTAGTAACTATCTTGGAGCAAGTACTGATGTTATTCTCCGGCCTATCGCACCATTATCAACTTCTTCATTTACTACAATCCATAGCTTAGATATTCGTAATGTTCATCAAGCTGTAATCATGGGTTATCTTCTAGCATTTTTATCATCCAATATTAACAATACACCAACAAGTCAATTATCCATATCAACTAATTGTCCATCAATAGAAACTTTAGTAAAATGGACTAATCAATCGACTAATCGTTGGACAACTTATTTAAGTCATCAAATGTTTAAAAATCAATCCAATATTACGTTCTCTTTTCTTCCTGTGAAATCTAATCATTTAATAAATATATCAGCCCCAATAAAAACTATACATAGTAATAATAATAATAATGATTCGTCAGATATTATTCAAGTACGTGTAGAATCTTCACAATTGTTTTCAATTTATAAATGTTTCAATTCTAAAAATCACGAACATATTAGTACTGTACAGTTTTTACTGGCTCGATGTTTGTTTACATGCATGTATCATCTGTTAAAGGACAGGTATTCGATGATGGTTTAAAGTCATTACTATTACTTTTTGTATTTATTATTACCCATTTTCTGTATAAGATAGAGTTTTGCTTTATGACAAGAAATATGTATTTTAAAAAATGTGCTTACATTTCGCTGTCTTTATTGTGAAACGAAATTGTAATTGATTATTCTTATTGGATGTTTTACACCGATCGACTGGTTGGTAAACAGTCCTGAACTAATCACGTGACTATTTGTTCGTAAGGTATGATACATCGGACGGTTTTGATCGGTTAGATAGTGACTGACCTACAAACTGACTTCTATTATGATGCCTAAATATGTTTATTTTTTCTTTAGTACTTTATACATAAGCTTGTTATTGTACATTAGAAAAATGTATTCTGAACAGTGATCTTTTTTAATCTTGAAACATTCAGGCTATTATGTCAGTGATTCGGTCTCATAAGTAGTCATTATCCGACTACATCGTATCATTGCACATCAGCATTGTTTTTCGTTTTGACAACTGAAGAATCGTTCATAAATGCTACTTTATAGTAGACCAACTGGAAAGAAACTGCTAAAAGTATTTTATACACAAGCTTTGATTTTGTAGTGTTTAAGGTTTGAAACATTAGCTAATATCTTTGAGTCATACTTCCATTTCTCTAATTATCTCTGGATGCGTTTTCTTAGATATACTTTACCTGAGACTGTGTGTCAATGTAGGATACTAGTACGCATTCACGTTATTCTCTAATGAGCCGGTGGTAAAGGTTTCAGCTATACGTATAAGGACATAGTAGAAAATCCCAATAGAAATCTCGAAAAGATTCAAGTCCATAATAATATATGTAATTACTTTCAGTACGTGAACATACATTTTTGACATATATCTATCAAAAAAGAAATAAAAACATCAGTGGGATTGTAGTGTCCTGGAAAGATCAAAAAGTTATTCATGGCTCTGGTGTATGGATACTACGAGTTCACCTAGGGAGTTGGGAAATCTTGATTTTTCAAACCAGTGATCCAAATAGACTAAAAACTTAGGGGAATGAATAACTACCATGCATTTAGGTCTTTTGACATCGCTTCACTACCCTATGGTTTAAACTTTTGCCTTAAAGACTGAGTAATGCATACCTCAGTATGGGCCTAAATCTTCGAGTCCTTAGAAAGTTAAACGACATTCTTTTCATATTTTCGATGTTCTGACAAAGTAGATTACTTTGTTACACTTAGACTTTTAAAGTGTCTGATAGTATATCAAGATATTTGCAAACCTCTTAACAAAACAATTTAATATAGATATCTATATATCTAGTCGTGATGTCATGGAAAAACAGTCTTCAAAATAAACAAAGCATTCACATTCCTTAAACGGCTAAAAACTCAAAAGACAACTTGGCAAAGAAAATGGGGATGTAGAATTTGGGTAGTTCTAAAACCCTGACCAGTGAAGTTCAGTCATGCTGAGTGTGAGGTAGTTATCCACCAATAGCACCACGAGTTGATTGGAATTACGAAAGTAAACCGCTGGATGCCAACTCAATAGCCTAAAAGACTGCTCAGGGCCTGAATGCCTTAGCTTCAATCCGTGGGGCTGTCTTGGATGCGTACTGATGAGAAATTCCATGCTCAAATGAGACAACTATCTAGTGCTTTCTACTTATCAATGGTTAAAATCAGTTCGTAATAATAATAAGCTATGAATAACAAACAAATAGCGAGTACATTTTATCATTCGTTCTTGCGAGGTTAATGATACTGCCTGATTGGCACTACCAACGGCCACCATGATATCCGGGTTCACAGAGTCTATCTGACGTCTTTTGAACAAATAAACGTCATCTCAATGGCCTCTTTGAGGCCTTGATCGGCAGCATTTTCTAACTGATTAGTCATCAATATCTTATTTGTCTAATACTTAGTATTAACCTCATTCTGTCAACCAGTTTGCTAAATATGACCAGTCTACGTGACTTGATATCTTGTGTACAGTGTTTTGATGTTACATGATTGAAGATAGTTGGGAGGAAAGTCACGTTCAGATATTCCTGCCAATTGACTCCAACCATTTGACATAAATCAATTATATCTGTTATTATCAAGTTCCAAATCAGAAGTCCTAACTTATATAGGTCACATATATCACGTGTTAGATTTCTGTTTTTCTTCGGACAACTTTCATAGTCTTATTATACACCAGTCATTATCTTACATTAAGATGCCTGTGTTGATTAAACCGGTTCAACTAATATCTTACTTATATTAGCAGAAACCAAACTAATTTAACCTCTCTATCTAAAGTCATAACGTTCAATCCCCAATACAAGTAAGCAATATTACAAAAGAATTTACAATTGTAGCTACAGTGACTATAAATTATAAATAGCAAAATATGTGGACAGTATTATTATTACCATTATTTCCATCAAATAAAGTAATAATATCCTTCAGTGTTACAATGTAATTCAACTTGGTGAATATTTCCTCAAATTGATAAGAATAAAGATCAAAGCATTACAGAAGTATTTCTTATTACGTTATTTATAAAAAGACATAATTTAAATGTTAATTTTAATGGTCAATTGTTTAACATTAAACCAAATATTCATGTTTCAAAGAGAAATTCTTTTCTTAGTTATATTTAAATATTTTGTCATTATATAATCGGTTAGTTATAAATGAAAACAATGGAATGTTGTAAAAGTTGATCCTTTCTCAAGTTAGACCATGTAACAGCTTTTTATTAATGGTGGCAACAGGTAGGAGATTAAATTAAGAAGAAATACTTGCACTGAAATGTGGACACATTCTTTTTTTTTCTCCCGGAAATATTGAATTACTAAAACTGCATACCATCCAAGTTTCTCTCGAATTCCTTTTTATATAATATATACGTTTATAAACAGATAAGTATTTTTAAGTATATTAGAAGACAAAGTGGGTATAATAATAGTCAACAAATTGACCAATAATTCTATGTGTATTAAAAAAAACGGTTCCGTTCACTATTGTGGAAATTATTTTTTTATTAGTCATTAAATAGAGTACCAATTTGTATACTGCCCAAAAGAAACCCATGTGTATCTCATCTTTAGATAGATATTTGTTGATAATGTTAAGAATGTATTTGTTTTTCAATTCTAATTCCTATTTATTTGTACTATGACATATGGAAAAAGGAATTTTAAGTAAGAAAATAAACGAACTAAAACAACATTTATCTAATGAAGTGAATTTAATCACTAACCATCGTTTAAAAATGATCTACTTTGTTGCATTAATGATTGTAACTACGAGGAGTATCGAAATATGCACTTTGAGTATAAAGATAAATTACCTTATGATCAGTAAATACCGATATTAGTTTGATTCAAAATTTGAAACGACACTAGAGCAACCCATCAGATCTAAAATAAAATAAAAATGACTGGTTCTGATACAGTCAGTCGTTGAAAATAGTTCATCTAACTATAGACAATAAAAAATACCTGCCAAATATGTGAATTAACTCAATCTGAGGCAGCTTCTGAGCACAAAGAGATCAAATGTTCTCCATGAATACCAAAATAGTAGTACCACTTGTAGTAAAAAAGATCATGGATAAGAAATATGAGTCAGGGAAAATAAATTGGCATAATAAGAGATATAAAATAATCTAGAAACTCAAAATATGAGGAAAGACAAAGTGAATGTGTTCATACCATTCCGACCAATTTAAAAAAGCTGGTTACGGTAATAACAGTAACGCCAACCTAGTGACGATTTCATGTACTGAAGTCATGTTTTAGTTTGACATGCTCACCCCACTGCAAAAGCAAGTGGTTAACTGAACTCAGTAACTAAGTGAATGATGTGATGACGTTTGAAGTGAACGGTACTGGGTTCGAGTCTCGGAGAGGACATCAACTCTTGGATGAAAGTATATTCAGCTGACAAGCCACAAGCAGTCCTAGATTCTACTGTTTGCCACAATCCGTCTTAAAGTAATTATTTTAATAATAACTAATTATATAATGAAGCCACCTATTTTTGTTAAAAGAACATCAAGAGTAATTGCTAATACGTAAAATATAAATAAAATAATATATAATAGGTAATGTTACACCATTAGAATCATTTTAATATTGCGATCGGATATTCGTCACACTTTCTTCCTATGTACAAAGTTCAGGTTAAAATTGTTCAATAACAGTTCCTTTCACAAAGGTTAGTAGAGTCAGCATCCGTTGCTTGCTAACTATTATGAACGCATTTTTCGTATCAACCTTAAATTAACTACCCGTTAAGTGTCTAGTTATTGAGCTTGTGAACACGAGTTTTTTTGAAATGAAAAATAGGTTTAGACAAACATGTCTAGAAAACCTTATAGATCCCATTTCTCTTAATTATTTCTATGTACTTGCCACCACACGTACATGTAAATTCAGAAATATTATTGGAGGTAAACTTGAAAGGGTATTGACTCACTTTTCATTGGCTTAAAATGTATTTGATATCAATAAAATAAAACAACTTAGGCCTTAGGGATGTTACTTTTCCATCAATTCTAACGACAATCTCATCTCCTTTGAACTCAAGGCGGATGAGAACGAGTTGTCTGAGGACAGTTAAGTGATTGGGACTTTCAGTAAACGTTTTTTTCAGACTTCATAATAAACTTTCTTAATTTTACTAAAAACATTTAGTGAACTTAAATACGAAAAACAGTGTTTATATCATCAAGGAGTTAGTTAAATATTGCTCGGATTACAAGCTAAAATATTACTGAACCAAATGATAGTTGTATAACATAATGTCAATAGTTATAATTGGAGTAAAGATTATTAAAAATCTCAGTCTACTATAGCATTAATAGATTGACAGCTGTTTCTTTCTGAA